ATGCTGCTCTGTATGTGCTGTTTGAAAATAGCCTGGTGAACATTTCAATAACATATATGAAATCTCTCTTATTACTGCAAGCAGTAATTCTCATTTCTTTCAGGTCCATATTTAAACCCTTTATTTTTGTTGATGATGTAAAATTAGTACCAAAAGTCCAGTCTCCTTCTTTTGGCAATGATGATCCTGCTAAAAAGATACCTCGATTCCAGGAGAAACCAGATCGTAGGCATGAATTGTACAAGGCACATGAATGGGCCCGATCTCTCCTGGAGAACGATCAGGTAAGAGCTGTGGGACTTAGAATTAATGAACTGAAGTCAATGTAGATTCCCAACTCTGTAACTTAATTCAGAGTCACTCAATGAAAAACATTCTCTGAATATTCTTAGAATCCTTGAGAGTTTAGCTTGAAAAATGATGCCCTCTGAAGGACAAACTATTCTACATAGTTTTTGTTATCCTGGGAGTATTGCGCTGTTCCATTACTTTTACAAAATGAAAAGTCAAACTGTTAAATTGATTATCTTGTTCAGTCCCCACTCTGCATGTAGGATTTTTAGTGTTTAGAACACTGGATGCTAATGCAACATGGTATCAGAATTATGTGCTAGGATGAGGGCAGGAGTGTTGTAATTTAAATAATATGATAGATTAAGAACTACATAGTTTGGAAAGGTATTTTTCTTTAAGGAATAATTTGGACATGACAGTTTGGCAAATCTTGCATTTTGCAATTCAATGCATTTGTGTTAATTTTTAACTGAAAATGCCATGTGAGAAGAAAGGACACTTTACAGTGCCATGCAGTACATACCCGAGGGCTGAAAAACTTCCATGGTAAAAACTTAGTGTTGAAGATCTCTTATGCAAATAATTTTGGAATAACTAAAGTCAGGAAAGAGATTATTCTGTATAGCTTTGCCAAATGGTTGAGATACAACTTTTGGTGTCATTGGGCAGGTAGTTCAATAACTTCTCAACATTTGCAATTACAACTACAGCAGTAAACTGGGTAAGTGGTTTTAAGGAAGTGGAACAGAGACAAAGCTCACCAAGGCACACTTGTCAGGCTTTTATGGGTATTCAAGCAATTTGTGGAAGACCCTCACATAGTTGTGTTGAACTCCCACAGAGGATTTGCTTTTCTACAATTTTCTTCTGTGTGTATTTGCATGGGTCAGAGTCTTGCTATGATCATAACAACATTCAGACCTACCCACTATTGATTAAGGAAGCTATGATAACCTTTGCTAGTACAAACATTATTTAAATGCAGCTGGGGTTAGATTTTTAATTTCTTGGAATGGTGTAATTTAAAATCTGTGGTTTCTGGTAACATTGTTTTAATGTGCAGCTGGCTCTCATATATTTTGCAAGATATTGATTTAGGGAAGACCTGAAAGAGGCATCTTAGCATCTTGTGGACTCTTGCTTGTTAAAGTCCTCACAATGATACCAATAGTTAGTTGCAGTAGAAAAGAAAATGCAGTTTTTTCTACTCAGGCTTCGTGCTATAAAAGCTGCCAATCCTAGAGTCTAAACCTTAGATGAGATGCTCTACTCTTTCTGGACAAAATGCTGAGAAAACTCAGAACCACCACTCATTCTAAATTACTTTCTTTTCCCCTGAAACTCAGTTTTGAAAGCTGCAAGCAAAACAAGCAGCACTTCTCCATT